AACGGGGCAGAATGCGCGATCCTTTCGAGATATTCCCCTTTGCCTACTTAAATCTGAATGATCGCAGAATTCGCGCGGATAATAGAACCCTGCTCGAGGTTTTTCCTTTTTTTCCATTTTTTTTTTCACTTCTCCTGACCCATTACGGGAACACGACAGCAGCTCGCAAAATGCGGACGCACACGATTAAATGCTTCTAAAATTATCCCCGCTTCGAATTAGAGACTGAAATGTTTTTTCTCGTTGAATATTTTTATTTCGGTTTTAATGCAATTCCCGGCTGCATGGAAGTGTTAACAGACGTAAAGGGAGATATTATCTTGAGAATCGTGGTTTATTCAAATTTCCTTTTTGTTAAGGAAGTTTGGTAAGGAAAGCGAGTATGAAAATTTCCACTTTGTCGAATATGTTCACGAATTTTCCAGTCACTTTTCTAACCCTGAACACGTTGTTTTAGTCACGTTTCACTATACAATGCGTGTGGCCATTGTGAAAATACTTAAGAAATTAAGAATTGAAAGTAAAATATTGGATAATTTTGAAGATCGAAATTTGTTGAAAAAATTGTTTGGAATATAATCACATTTATCGTTTCCAAAGAAGTGCAGTCTATTCGTTGCTCGAAAAGAGAAAATTTGCATATTAAGAGGAATAATGTATGTTCTCGTCTATGTTAGTTTCAAATTGTTGGCTGAACTTTTACACCGTGCTACATGTTACAATAAAAGTAATGTTACATCAATAACCAACTGTAATAAAACTCTGTTTTATTTGTGTCAGCAAGCTTCCATAAAAAGCAAAACATTTAACAGGAGAAGTATTACTTCGATGAACAAAAAGTATAGTGTTCTATTGACAGCAATGAAAACAAGACTGCTTTTTAAATAGCAATTGCACGGTTCACGGATCAAAGGTGAACCCGTTGAAAGGTTCACCCTCGATGTCCAATAGGGGTGGAGATTCAGAGGGGGGGAGGAGAGATGCTCGCAACTCGATTTTCAATTGCGTTCTCTCGCTTCTCGATGAAATTCGATTGGAAATTTTCCGGATGACCGAACGATCCGCTCGAAGCACCTCGACGAGACGAAATGACGATGAAAATGCTGTTGACTCGGTGTAACGACGACTGATGGAAGGTTCAAGTTCACAGAGAATACGAATTTTCCAGTGCGATTTCGATCATCCTTGTTTGGTCGATAACGAACAGCTCGAGTTGGTTTCGGTGAAAAACTGATGAAATGAACTGTTACGTTAGATTGGTCCAACGTTTCGCGTGTTAGAGGGAGTCTGAATGACGGATCGTGGAAGCTATTTTGTAACAACTTTTGGTAGTTGGAATACACTTAGTCTGAGTTCAATGGAAATAATGTTGGAGAGAGTAGAGAGAATGGTGAAGGGAAACGTTAAAAATGCGACAGATTCTAAGGGAGACTATGGATTTAAAGAACTGGAGAACGCAATGATTTCAAAGTTTGAAGATTTGAATATTGGAATTCTGGAAAATTAGAATATTTGAAAATGGGAAATTTGAA